CGCCCCCCCCCCAACCCCGCTGTGCTCATCGGGCCCCAGCGCCCCCTCTGGCCGCCTGGACCAGGCTGCCCTTCACCTCCATGCACCTCTGCTCCTGCACACCCCTCCTCCTGAAACTCCTCACCCTTCTCTAGGCCAGACTGGGCCACTGGCTCAGGAACTACTCTTTATTTGGAGAGAGGCTTTTATTTTAAGTCTGGGGTTCCAAGTGCATATGCTGTAATTCACGCAGGGTCCACCTCCTCCAAGAAGCCCTGTCTGACTTCTTCCCACTCTTCCCTCTACCCACCAGGCGGGGGCAGCGTCCTATCCCATGGCCCCCTTGGTCACGCGTCTCAAAGCTGTTATCTGCCCTTGAGGTCAGGTCTGTATCTCATTCCTCTTTGCATCACAGGGCTCAGCTCAGCATACAGTAGGCACTCCATAAATGCTCACCGAAGAATGATTGTGTGCCTCCAGGCTCCACACATGCTTCCCCACCTGCCCTCTCTCCTTGGGAGCCTGGGATTGTTTTTCTACCCTTGGCTTAATGAGGCCCTTGAGGCTGCTCCTGCCAACAGGCTGCCAGCAGGAGACCTAGCTCTGGGAAAAGGGCAGCAGCGAGCTCTGGGAGCAGCTGGGAAGGGCAGCTCTGTGGCTTCCAGCTCTCCTTCCACCTGTCCCATGAGGGATGCAGGCTCAGGCCCCCGAATGCTGTGTCTTCACTCCCAAAGCCATGCAAGGTAACTGCTCCATGTCAGTCTGGGAGGTCCTGAGGGCGGGATGCCGGACCTGCCACGCGGGGGCGGCAGTGTCAATAGAGCCTCTTCCCCAGGGCCGAACAGATGAGAGATGGGCCGCAGAGGGCAGAGGCTGTGATTTCCTAGCCACTGAGAGCCAAAGAACCTGCTTTCCTGCTCCGTCTGTTTCTCAGCTGTGCTGGCTGTTTGCAAGGAGGTCCTCTGAATTGAAATCTCAGTCTGGTTGCCTTTCCCCTCGCGGGGCTGCTGGGCCAAGCTCCTGGAGGGTGAACATTTGGCTGGGAGGAATGTGGAAAGGTAGGGCTCTTTCAGGAAATGCAGTGAGGGGCTGCATCTGGCTCCAGGTTTCCGGGGAGAAGGGGCTGCCAGAGTAGCCTGGAAATGGCCTTATACACCTCAGGTTGCAGGAGTCCCTCCTCTCAGACTCCCTGCCCAAGAGATGAGAGAGGACAGAGTACCCCCAACCTTTCTACAGAAGCCCTCTTGTCCTCTGTGAGCCGGAGGCCAGAGCCATCGCATCTTCTCTGGACCTTGTGGATCTTACTTTCTCTCTCAGGCTAAATGGAATAGTAAGAGTAGCTGGAGGGACAACAGCCTTTAGACAGAGCTCCCAATTATCCAGGCACTGTTCTAAGTCCTTTACAGGTATTAGCTCATGTAACTCTTACATCCCTGTGAGGTACATCCTGTTAATTTTATCCTCATGTAACACATGAAGAAACTGAGGCTCAGAGACATAAAGAGACTTGCCTGAGTTGCTAAGTGCCAGAGCCAGGATCTGAACCCAAGCATCCTGGCTCCGAGGAAGGCCATTCTCTCAGCCCCTCCCTCTGTCAGAGGGGAGTGAGTATATGCAGCTGTCCCCTGACTCACCCACCCCTTGGTGTCACTCCCTGACCCCGTTCCCTCGGGGGGCCACGCTGCTGCAGGGGGATGGAGGGAAAGGAGGCTGGAAGGGCCACTGCACCTGCAGGGAGCAAGGGGGCCCTCAGGAGCCCGACGCCCAGGCAAAAGCCGTGGGAAGCCCTGGTGTTCTGGCGAGGATGGGGCGGGGGGCACCGAAGGTCCAGTCCCAGTGTGAGGTGACCTGTGGCTTAGGCAGAGGAGGGAATCACGACCTTGAACCCACCGGGCCCAGCGGTAAACGACTGCTCCAGGGGCTCCCGGGCCCCACAAACCTCTGCTCTAACAAGTGCTCCTCTCTTCCCCCCTAAGACAAGCCTGGGGCTCTTTGGGGAAGCTGAGCAATAGATAGGGTTCCCCCAGAGCCACCAAGCCGTGGGAACACCCCAGTGAAGAGCCGGGAACGGTCAAGGTGAACCCACAAGTCAGGGCTGCCTCTCCCCTCCCCGTGGGCAGGGAGGGGCAGCTGGGGGCTGGGGTCTGCACCTTCCTGGCAGAGGAGAGAAGGGACCCCGGTCCCCCAGGGGTGGGGAGGGGGGAGGGCAGCCTCACCCAGTCTTTGGAGGTGCCGAGCCTCTTGAGGCCGTCCAGGGGGAGCAGGTCGGCTGAGTCCTTGTGCAGGAACCGGGTGGCCTGTCTGTGCTGGCGCTGCCGGCTGCTGGCTCGGCCCCGCAGCTCTGCCTCCTGTCCCCTGTCCCCGGCATCTCCCTCCTCCCTCGGGGCGTCCGGCCGGACGCTCATGGCCCCCGCGGGCAGGCCGGGGGCTCCTGAGCGGTCTTGCCCACCGTGCTCTTTGCTTCCTCCCCCGCCCCGGCAGCTTTCTGCCTGCAGCTCTCCCAACCGGAGGGCCTCAGCGGAGGGAAGAAAAGAGGCAGTAAATAAATAACATGCAGGAGCGGCGACGTCAGACACCAATTTCCAGAGCTTGCAGTAGAGGGAGCGGGGCTCCGGCTGGAAAAACCCAGCCCTGGGGGAGAGGGGGCGCTGGCAGGGCTGCAGCTGGTAGGCTCTGCAGCCTCGCCAGCTCCTGGGTCCTGGCCGGAGTGGGTGGCGGCGGAGTGCGTGCGTGCGTGCGTGTGTGGCTGAGGAGGTGGGTGTATCTGTGCTGCAAACTGTCAAGGTGTCTGTGCCAGGTTGTTAGAGAGGGAGTGTGTGTCAGTGTGCGGAGGCGGCAGCCCGCGTGCTGGGGGAGTGTGTGGGATGCAGGGCGCGCATCCCTGTACGTGTGTCTCCAGGGCTGCCCCGCCGCGCTCTCCGCCTGGGGTTCTCCGCAGCCCTGGGGCCGGGACACAGGCCAACACTAGGTTCAGAACAGAGAGGGGCAGCGTCACAGTGTCCCCGGGGCTCTCCTCTCTCTCAGCAGGAGCCTCCCCCCTTCCTGGGCCTCAACCTTTCAGCATCCTTTGCTCCTTTACGCTGGGTTCTGGGTTCCAGGGCTGGCTAAGAGCAGCTCTGAATCTCCCCGAGTTAGGGCCCCAGCTTCCTCCTCTCCTTTATGTAAGGCTCATTGAGTCCTGGCTCCTTTTTAAAAAGTTATAATTCAAGCATGCAGAAAGTTATACCTTTTTTTTCTCTTTTCATTAGAAAAGAAAAAAAAACACTGCTACAAATATAACAGAAGCTCCTTGTGGGCCCCTCCTCCCCAGCTAACATCCCCTCCTGAATCTGGTATTTCTCACATCTGTTTCTTTTTTTCTTTCTTTTTGGCCTCACCACTTGGCTTGTGGGATTTCAGTTCCCCAGCCAGGGATGGACCCCGCGCCCTCAGCAGTGAGAGTTCAGAGTCCTAACCACTGGACCGCCAGGGAATTCCCTCATACCTCTCTTTATGCACATCCATATGTGTGTATTCTATGCAGTGTGCCGTTTCGTCTTGCATGCCCCATTGTAGAGATTCTTCTGCAATTTGCTCTTTTTTGCTCAGTATTTTGTTAGTGACATTCGCGCGTGAGCTATGCATAGCTCTAGTTAATTCACTTTGCGCAGTATAGTATTTCTCCAGTGAATACAACGCATTTAGGAAACTCAGGTTATTTTTCATGCTTTGTTCTTACAGACGATGCTGCTGTGAACATTTTGGCACCCACCTCCTGGGGCACACGTGTAAGCATTCCTCTAGAGGCTGTACCTAGGAGTGGGATTGCTGGGGCATCAGGTAAGGCTGTACCTAGGAGTGGGATTGCTGGGGCATCAGGTAAGGCTGTACCTAGGAGTGGGATTGCTGGGGCATCAGGTAAGGCTCCACCAGCAGCGTCCAGGGGTCCTCAGCCCCATGTCCTCGCCAACACTCGGTATCAGATTTTTATAGCCCTGGCATGTCTGCCACCAGAGTCTTCTCTCCAGCCTTTCGTCTTCACCGTCATCAGCAAGCACTGGCCACGGTTCTGCTGACATGTGTTGGACACTCACAGGGTGAGTCCTGGCCTGGGCTCTGCTCCCCGGGGCGCGGTCTGATCCAGGAGGCTCGGAGGCGCCTGCACATTCAGACAAGGCAGACATCCGCTGGCCTCCTGCGGACCACATGCCTTCTTGAGGCATTTTACAACCACTGCAATTGTATTATGATCCCCATTTACAGAAGAGGAAACTAGCTAAGCGTTAGGGGTTCAGTTGTGTTCCCCCCAAATTCATATGTTAACGTCCCAACCACCAGGACCTCAGAATGTGACCTTATTTGGAGATGGGGTCTTTACAGAGATAATCAATTTAAGATGAGGTCATCAGGGTAGCCCTACTCCAGCATGACTGTGTCCCTATTAAAAAGGGAAATCTGGACCCAGAGAGAGATGCACGCAGGAAGAGTAGCATGTGAACATGAAGGCTGAGGATGGGGCCGTGCCTCTCAAGACAAGGAAGGTCAGAGGTCACCAGCAGCCTGGAGAGAGGCCTGGAACAGATCCTGCCTCACGGCCCTCAGAAGGAACCTTTCCTGCCCACACTGTGATCTTGGGCTTCCAGCTTCTGGAACCGTGAGACAACACATTTGTCTTGTTTAAGCAGCCGAGGTTGCGGTGCTTTATTACAGCAGCCCCAGGAAGCGAATACACCAAGACTTAGAAAACTCGCCCCAGATTCAGGTATCGGGTGGCAGAGCTAGGAATCAAAGCCTCTGGTTCTGTCTCCCGAGTCCTGCTCGGTCTCCGTCATGCCGAAGCGAGAGCACGATGTAGAAGGTAAACGTGGACTGAAAACCAAACACTGGTGTGATTCCACTTACCGAGCTCAGCACCCCCTGATCCTGGCTTCCTTTAGAGTCAGTTTCAGTGGAATATTCCAGCTCCCTTCCACCCCTGTGCCTTGACACCTATTACCCGCATATTTGCCTGGGATAGAGGTCGAAGAGGACCCACTGCCATGTACTGGGTTCCCTGGTTGTTTCAGTAGGATTAACCACATGCGTGGACCGATCAGCCAGTGCCCTGCATGCCAGGATGCCGGGCAGGCCCCATGCCAAAGGCATCTACTCCAACCTTATTCTCAGCCAGCCATTCCTTAGGTTTGAAAAGTCTTCAAGATCTTCAAGAGTCCTTTATTAATGCACTCTCTGGAGGAGTGCCGCTGTCGGTGAACAAGAATGAGGCATCTCTTGGGCACTTAGCCACGTTGCCTCGGGCCGGGCTGACCACCTGGATGGGTGTCCCAGCACGCGGACTGCACCCAAGGGGAGAGCAGGCGCTCCTGTGGTGTAGAAGGGAGACCTGGGTGTTTGCGGTTTGGATGGGGTGAGCTTGGGGACAGCATCACCTCTTCTCCAGTGGGTTTGACAAGGCCTGGGAAACGGTCGTGCTCAGGAAATGCCATCCTCTGGATTGCAGCTGCAGAAGAGGCCCAGCTGGTCCCTGTGTCTGTGACTCAAACTAACATTGTCTCGCTTGCTGTCTCATCGTCCCACACACTCAGGGGTAAGGAGACTCTTGCTTTTTGTGTTCCTTGGCTTCTTCTTTTGTAAACCTGTGCTTTCCCCCAAGTTGCAGGGAGTTCTTGCGAGGGGAATGTTCTGGCAATACAGAGCTCTGAGCTCCTCTTTTTCAGAATGCCGGGGAACGTTTTGTGGCCCATTTATATCCTCAGCTGGATTGTCTGTGTCTTTACCAATAACTCACCTCTCTTCCTTCCCCTCATTGTTTTCTAACCTAACCGTTGTGTAGTTCAACAAACCGATTCGTTCACAAGGAATAACTACACTGAGCTCTAATCATGAGATGTAGGGAGAAAACTCCCCAGGACAGTATTCAGGAAGATTAAACCATCTGGATTCTTAGGAAGAGAAGGACTGGAGGTTTTCCTTTCCGAGACGCTTGGGAAATATCTGGAACTTTTCTCATTTATTTCATCTTGCGTTTCACATCGATGTTGAAGAGAATGGATCCAAAGCCAGAAATTTTGTGAGAAAAAAATGGAAGTGTGAGATACGGCTCCCTCGCTGCTTTGGTCCTCCTCTGAATTATATCAAGTTTTCCTTTCACTCGGTCAAAAAATATTTTTGGAGCCCCTACTGTGTGTGTCAGGCACTGAGCGAGGCCCTGGGGGTACAGTGGGGAGTTGGACGGAGCCCCTGCCCCCACGGAGTTCACATCCAAAAGAGAAAGGCAGACTCTAGACCATTTATGATGTTGGGTAGTGCTGAGTGCTGGGGGACAGAGCAGGGGAGAGCAGTGTGTGTGGGGGGGACAGATGACATCGTGCAGGATGAGAACAAGGTAGGGGAAGGGCCATGCTGGTATCTGGGGGAGATGCCGCGGACGGGGGCAAGATGGGCTAGCCTGGGCCTGGGCTGACGTTCCCACACTGCACCCCAGACGGGGTAGATCTCCATTCCCCCTGTCCGGCCTGGCTCCCCCGCACCCCATGACCAGTCATTCACACCAGCAAGACGTGGAGAGAACAGAGCTACTCATCCAGCCAGGACGGAACCCTTTTCCTTGCTCTCCCGGACAGCATTAACTCACTGGGGCTAACAAGTCACCAAACCCTGCATCTGACAGACCCGAGGGGTCAGGGTTTCCTCTACTGAAAGGGAACCCAGAGCCCTGCCTAGTGGGTTCTTGGAACTGTCAGAGGGCGATGGGTCTTTTGTGTTTCCAGCAACAAGGATGGCTGAGAGGGCTCCAGGAGATACCGCTTTCTTGGCCTTCACCCTCATAGGCCCTCAGGTCTTCTGGAGAACTTTCTGCCTTTAGGTAAAACCAGACTACATCTCATATCTGCCATGGGGTGTCAGTCACTAGTGATTCTAGGCTTGTGCTGACTGATGCCATGGCTACTGGCCACACATGGTTATTGAGCAGGGGAAATGGGGCCGGTCTGAACTGAGATATCCTATAGGTATAAAATACGTACTGGATTTTGAAAACAATACCCAAAGCAATGTGAAATATCTCATTAATTATTTTTATGTTGATTACATTATTTATATTGATAATATTTTGGATCTGTTGGGTTCAGTAAAATGTGCTTTTTGTTTGGTTTGCTTCTTTGCTTGTTTTGTTTTTGTTTTTTGTTTTGGCCATGCCGTGTGGCAGTGACATGCAGGGTCTTAGCTGCCTGACCAGGGATTGAACCCGTGCCCCCCGCATTGGTGGCACAGAGCCTCTCTTAACCACTGGACCACCAGGGAAGTCCCTTTTTCTTTTTTTTGGGAAAATGTGTTATAAAAATTAACATCACCTGTTTAATTTTACTTTTTTAATATGGCAAGTAAAAATTTAAAGTTGCATGTATGGCTCCATTATATTTCTCTT